GGGGGTGGGGGGGGGTTCAAAGTGCCGGGAGCTGGGGCAGATGGGGCTGCCATTGCTGGGGCTGGGAGGGTGGGAAGGGGAGGAGGCCTGTCCGATTTGGAGATTCAGCAGCAGCCAAATCGCCAAATCAGATTTGAACGAATCAATTCGGGATGAATCAAATCACTGTCCTCTGAATTGACTGAATCTGAATCCAAAGTGAATACTAACCACTTTGCACAGGCCTACTCGCTAGGTGTGTTACAGAATTTCCATAGGACTAGGTAACAGGGGGCTTTTTCGGGACCAATCTGTCATTGGCCTGCCCACCTGTTTCTGGGCCAACCGCCCGCCTCCTTGTCTTCCACGCCTTGAAGATATATAATTATGGTGCTAATTAGGTGGGAGGCTGCCCATTTTTTTCCTGATTCCAGGAGGCACCCTCTGCGGCTCCGTTCCTCCCCTAAACTGCAGCCCATGCCTCACAGATGACATCCAGGTGACACAATTACTCTCGGCCTGAGACCGAAGCAAACTAAGTCCAAAGTTGGGCTCCACACACACACACATACCACCTCCCCTCTCACAGGAGGCCTCTTCCACTCCACCCCTCTCTCACCAGGGCCTCTGGCATATTGCCCATTACCAGGCCACACTCCACCACCCTGCTCCTCCTTGAACGACCCCTCTAAGCCATCAGGCTTTGCTACTTGAATGCTGGCCTACCCTGCAGTCCCTTCAGTTCCCATGAGTTCCCCTACTCTGTGTGGTCCAGCCTGGTGCCAAATCCTGGGCTAATTCTGCCCCACACCCCTCACCAGGCAACTCTACACACACACACACACACACACACACACACACACACGGCTCCCAAGCCCTCTCGTTTCCCCCCCACTGGGGCTCCACAACCCGTCCCCTCACTGGGGCTGCCCCATCAATGGGGCTCCTCATCACTGTCCCCTCACTGGTGCAATGGGGTTGCCCTCCCTGGTGGGGCTTAGGTAGGCATAGCCATGGCTACCTAAGCCATAGCCATGGCTACCTTCATGCCATGTGACACTACTGTGAAGTAGTAATGAGCTACTGTGCAGTCAATGTCTCATGTAGATGTAGCTAGTGGGTGCCTACTGATTAGTCATTAATATCAGATTAACTGATATTTGGGATGAATCGAATCACTGTCCTCGGAATTGGCTGAATCTGAACCCAAAGCGAATACTAACCACTTTGGCAAACAGATTAACTATTAATCTGTTTGGAGGCTCCTGGTCCTGGACATGACCTAAAACTGCACCCTGCCGGGGATGGGTGGCCTGGTGGGGCTCCTAGTGGCGTGGGAGCCCCTTCTGGGTCTTATACCCTATAGCAATAGCCATTCCTGGCTCCCTTGTACCCACAGTATTGTGGGGGGGGGGGGAGGGGTTAAGGCACCCTAACCCACCTTTCACCAGGGGGGGAATTGGCCTGGGATTTCCTGGGGGGTCGCGGG